TGTGTGTGTGTGTGTGTGTGTGTGTGTGTGTGTGTGTGTGTGTGTGTTTTCCCGTTCTTGGCTGTCTCCGTCTCCTCTGGCAGTCTTCCCCTGCAGGCTGTGGAGGTCAATGTGATGATGGAGCCGCCGCTACTGGCGCTCCCCCTTTGTCCAGCAGGGTGGACACACTCTCCTTCCAGCTCTGTTTCTCGCCTCTCTGTCTCACTCTACATCATTTTCTCTGTGTGCTGTGTCTGTATTGGACTCTTTTTTTTTTTTTTTTTTGTGTCCGTTTCTTGTGCATACATACACCTTAGCTTCCTTGTGCTTTTTGACCTCACTGGAACTATGCAAGTGTTTACGTGTGATAAAACAACACTATTTTTGCCTGTGTTCTGTTTTCCCAATACAGTTTCCAGGACATGGCGAGCTACTTTGGGGTCAAGCCAAAGTCCGGGGAGAAAGAAGTGTCCCCGGGTCTCGTTTTTATGCTTTGGTACGAGTTTTGCAATGACTTCAAGAACACCTGGATACGACAAAACAAGAACATCTCCAAGGAGAGGTGGGTTGGATTCTGGTGGTGCAGCTCTGTCTCTGTCAAACACACATGAAGTTTAGTATACTAATCAGGAGAAGTACTATCAACCTGTGAAAACAGTTTCCTGGGAGCTTTGTACAGTCTGGGAAAAAAAGAATCTCTATGGTTATCTCAGATTCTTTGAAACTTTTTGAACAGTAAGTGTTACTACTTTGAGATATGGAGTTTGCAAGACATGGGCATTTACAATAATTAGTTAATTAATTAATTTAAATATCTCTGCCTCCTCTGTGGAAATTTTGTCTAACCTTTTTTAATCTGCCTATGGTCCTCCAATTTAATGAAGTACAATGCTAAATTGCTGGAGTGCCCCTTAGTGATGGTCATAAAACAAGTGACTGATATCCTCTGTAAAGCCTGGTGTATACTGTATATCTTGTTCCTCAGTCTGGAGAACACAACTTTGGCCTCTAAACTAAGCCTGAACCATTTCATCCTGGGGTCAGACTTCTTGTCTCCGCCACCTTCTGATGTGTGCTTAACGACCTCTAGACATAATGTCAAATTGGCACTAATTGTACAAGGGTGATGTGCAGATGCTTAATTATAGCAGAGAGACGGAGGCTATCAAAGAGGAGGCAAACAGGCATAGCTGAGGCCTCGGCCTTCTGTCTGAAGGACTGGGGCCTGAATTTATGATGTTTCCTCTGACCTGAGGCGTCACGTTGGGTTGGGTGGGGGGGGGAGACACCAGACCCTCCTGGCGGCCGCCTGGCTTTACGAGCAAGCGTTTGGGAGAACTGATAGACACTGTAATGATGCTGGACATGCAGCCCAAAGGGCGACAACGGGACTGCGCAGGAGTGAAGCTGCTCGTTACTGCATGGTCATTTCAAGCATCATGCGGTGGCTTCAAGGCTGCTCATACTTGGAGGTTGTCATATCGTGACATTTAGTGTCCTCCAGCTACTGCTGTCTGAACTCTCTCCTGTGAGTCAGAAGAGATTTCTCAGCCCTGCCGTGGATCCATGGGCTCTCTCTTAATTTTCTACCTGGTAATTGTGTCTCACAGTACTCACAGCTGATTGTGCTTATGTACAATTAACTGTTTGTACAGTCGTAAAAGCCAAGTGTTTCTTTTAATGGCTGCCTCATTATCTCATCAGCCCACTGTCATTCTCTGCTGCTTCTCACTTAGAGGGCTTTCACTGACCGCAAACTCCTGAGAGTGTGTGTGTGTGTGTGTACATGGCACCATGACACACGGTGCCCCAGTGAGATACTAATGTGTCTTGCTCTTACAGACAACTTCACAAGGACACCGTGATGAAAGGCGTCTGACTTTTTATTGTTTTCGCAAGTTACACAAGTTTCATGATTTAGTTCCAACTCTTTCAGTGTGTGCTTCTGGTTTTAAAGGCTCTGCACATATCAAAGTCCTTGTGTTTTTTTCCCCCAAAGGTTGAAGGAAGCTCAAGAAAACATCCAGAAGATCACAGCGGAGAAGCGAGTCGAAACCAAGAAGATCAATGCCAACAGTCTGGTAAGAACTGATCTACATACAGCAGAGAGAGAGAAGCTGCTCTTTCTTGTGTCCGCACTGAAATAGATGCACCACGTCTTCTTTTTCTTTTTTTTGCGGTTCTTGCCAACAGAAAGAGAGGCTGCGGCAGAAGGAAGCCAGCGTGTCTTCCTGCTGAGTGAAATGACAAGTGTCGGAGCATCGCAGATCAGAAGGTGTGCAGGCCTCATCTCTCCTGCGTTTACCACCTGCCTCAACAACAGGACTCGCAATAAAACCTCGCCGGACTCTGACTACTCCCACTGCCGTATCTCTGCCCTACTAACACCCTCCCATCCAGATAGAAGCTGGGCCTGCGGCGAGGATGCATGGCTGACACACTCAAAGTGATGGGAGTGTTAAAGGCCAAAGGTCGATCTCGTTCATCCGGCAGGGCGCGACCTCTGAGTGCCCCAGCTTGTGAAAGGTCTCAAGGGGTCAGTGGGATTCACAACAGCTGACACATCCAAGAGGCTCCTTCTAGATCTACAAGAACTTGGAATCCATTTCTCTCAGAACGGTAGATGTCAGACAGCAGAGTGATAATGCTCCGACATATTCAAAGTGTTAAGAATTTGTTGCTGTTATGTGAACGGATACGGCTGCCTGACTTGGAAAATCCCTTTTCACAAAACAAATCTCTCTCTGGAAGCAGTAAAAGAAATGCATTAAAAAAAAAAAAAAAAAGCAGTTGCCAGTGTTCTTTGCTGTAGCGAATAGCTTTTCATTTGCCACGGCTCATTAAAAGTCTTGTAAATATGTCATGCTGTAGAATCGGCAGGGACCGAGCGGCGTTGAGAAGTATGATGAACGATCTGCGCCGGGCTTGACGTGCGGATTGAGACATGAAATGCGTGTGCGTGTGGAGGTTTCACTGTATTGTGTAGCACTGCACCAGACTGACCTCTCCTGGGTGACAGCCAGAGAAGAGCAGAACTTGGCAGCAAGTCTCGGACCCCTCTCACACACACACACACACACACACACCTTAAAATCATCAGAAGAACACAAGTTTTGGCCGTGCACCCACTCCCACTTAAAATACTAACCACACTATGTGTCGTGCAAAATTGTTAATCCGTCATCACATTGTGTCCAGCACTCCTTTAAGCACTTTACTGCTTGCAGTAGCTGTATATGTCGTTGCCGCTACAAGCCACACTCCCCTGTTATGCTAACTGCGTGCATTCTTTTCAGATGTCTTGCACCTTTTTGCACCTCTTTTCCTATGCAAGAGTATGGTCCTTAGAAGATATATATATTGTAATGCTTCATGATGAAATCCTATTAGATCTTTTTTTTTTTTTTTCTAAGAAAGTCTATTAAAGCGTACGTTTTATTTTTGCAAATGTAAGATGTAACCACGCTCCTGTATCAATCAAGAAAAGTCTATTTATGTAAAGAATGATTTATTTTCTGCCAAAAAGCATCAGCTTTGGTCCCTTTGAGGGTCTATTTGTATGAGTTGTAACTGACTGAGAAGCTACCCGATAGGTCGGTCAGATAAAAGATATATTTTCACATGGATATTAGGTGTATGTTGTGTCCGTTGGTTTACAGTGTAGGCTGTGATATGTGGAATTTGAGTAATTTGCTTGGAATGAAGGCTGCCTATACTTTTATGTTTTGGAGAGATGAGGTTTGTATTTTCGGATTTTAAGAACATTTAAGCATATCTCCTGAAGCCAGAGTTGTTATACCTCAGATAGACTTCCATTATCAGAGTATACATAAAACCGCACCTTGAATTACTTTTAACCCTTCCAAGTCTTTTCACATGTGCCATTTATTTTGTAGATTTCATCAACTGTTTTACTTCAGAGGGTTTGAAAAGCAAAAAAAAAGAGCTGATACTGACCAAGGAACTGCTGTAGCGTCTACTGTATGTATGTATGTTGGTTCATGGAAACTTCAGTAGCTCTCATATAGGTGCTCTGTAATTTTATGGAATTGTTTTAAATTTCAAGAATAAACTGCTGAATGCCGAACAAATAGAACCAATATCTCTGAATTTTCTTCTGTCAACACTTCCATCAGGCCGGCTTTCAGAAGCCTGGCAGTGCACCAAGTAAATGTTATATTTATGTAAGAAACCTGAGTCACCAAAGAGGATTTGAATACTCATAAATCAGCCTAACTGGGTCAGAATTAAGTCATCCAATCAAGCCTCTTGGTCCTGGAAAACGTGTAAAATATTGTGATTAGTCGTGTTAACTTAAAGAATTTTGTTAGAAGAATGAGATGGACATTTCAGTGTTTTAGCCTGTTTGTTGTAGCTCTAATATACAAACAGTCATTCGGTGCCTGTCACTGAAAATGTAGGATCTGGTTTTACACTTTTGCAGTCATTTAAAAAACTTTTTTAAATGCATTGCATGGTGATATGATCAATAAGTCACCAAATCCTCCTGATGAAAAATGGTCACTGTTCTCAGCTGTGACCAGATTCACATCTGTGGCCCTTCCAGCTCATTCCAACTTGTATTCAAACACCAAGATAACCCTGCTCATTGTTTTAGAATATATATTATCAGGGTGATCTTTAATATGGATGGCTGAAGAACAAAGCGTATTCAAATTTTAAAAAACAATGAATCGAACATTGGCTTGGTGGAATTTAGGCAGACAATCCCTAATCATTTGCATTAGACCACCACGTGCCCCATTCTCAGTCCTCCGTTAGATTTGCAGGCCATGTAACAAAATATCGTGAAGTTTATTGAGATAATTTCAAGGGATAATTGGAGCAGGTAACCGCATCTTTTCTCATAAAACTGATTACTTTTACGATGACATTTATTCCAAGATCTGAGTGCGAACGTCTCCTCAAGAAGCTGGCTCCATGAGGGAGGGGAGCAGCAGATGAGGACATAATTAAACATTTTGTTTAAACACACCTTCCTATTTTTCATCAGGTGTACAGTCACAGATGATACGCACAATATTTCTACATCCGTTTATTTGATGTTTTCAGGGATAATTTAATCTAAGGGATAAACAAACCAGTTACATCAGAGATGGCTGTACATTTTACAACTGTTGAATCGCTGTACATTGTCCGTTTTAACCAACAAAAAACTAGTGTCTCCACAACTGTGTACCAACTTACAAAAAAATCGAAATTCACAGAAATCAATTAACCATGAAAGATTCTTGAAACATCTAAATAAAAATCACATTTTCCACTTACAAATATCGCCACTTATCCATCACAGTCCACACAGTGGAAGCATCCAGTTAAACAATCATATATGCACACAAAAATACAAAAGTGTGACAGGAATGTTTTCCTGTGACAATAAGCGTCTTGATTTATTAAATAAACTTGTTTAAGCAGTCCCCTCGGGGTACGGAAGCCGTGCGTAAAAACGTGCCCATTCCAAGTCAGCGTTCCCGTGCAGTGATGCTTGTTTTCAAACTTGGCTAACTGGTGAGGAGTAAAATGTTCGTTGCAGTTCATCGTGATGTTTATAAATTGCCGGTCCATATTTGTTCACACGTTGTGCAAGAAGAGAGTCATTGCAGCCTACATGTGAGAAACCTTCGTGGACGATTCCTTCTAGATGGAGACAGGCACGTGTCCTTGGCTGTGTGACAATTCTGTCCGCGATGAATAAGAAAAAACACACACACACAACACATTTCTTTAGTCCAGGTCTATGGATATGCAGCGGCACTGTTTGACGCGCTGGATGCGTTTCTTCTTGGTGGGTGGCTGCTGGTCCGGGCAGTTCAAAGTAAAAGTCATGGTGGTAAAACGCTTCGGCTTGCAAAACGAACAGGACTGGAAGGCACCCTCCTCCCTGCGGATGTGCCTGGGGATGTAGAAGGAGTTGCACTGTCCGTAACAAAAGCGGTTGATGATGGTGCGGCTGACGCAGCCCTCCTCGTGGATGGTCTGCTTGAGGGGCTGCGTCTTGCACCAGTCCCGTTTCAAATACTGGCGCTCCGTCACATGTAAAGCTTCCTGGCTGGACTCCAGCACCTCATCGGCCGGTGAGGACGAGCCCTGTCTCTGCCGGGACCCGGAGCCCGCCTGCGGAGTCTGCGGTTGCTGCTCTGATTCGTTTGGGTTGTTTTTGTCAGGATGAGGAATGGCGCCTTGTGAACCTCGGTTTCTTTTGGAATCCACGGGAGAGGAGAGCAACCCCATGATGAAAACCATACTGCAGAATATACGCGTTGAGACAGCCATCCTTGGGGAGAGGAAGAAAATAATTCATCATCAATACCGTTTCACCTCGGGGCGCGTTACGCACAGCTGTCAAAGCTTTTTACGCTGCGTAAAAACGCACCGATACAACTTGCTTTTTTTCGGTTTTGTTTTTTTAAACGCATGCAAGGCGACACTGAAGTAGCTGTATATTTGAATTACTTCAGTCTAAACAGAGTGAGAAATACAATAGATCTTCTGTTCCTAAACATTATAAGGGATCTGTTGTGCAAAGGAACACCAGATTTAGCCAAAGCAAAAGCACACAAACGGGATTAGTTAATAAAGCATTCACGTATTAATACGTCCACACCAGTGGACAACAAGCGTGCAGTTTGGTAAGTTGTATAAGCCATAGACCAAATAAAGATCAAATGTAAGTGGTGGAAGACGATGTGTGAGGATGTTACGGTCACTAACAGTCCAAATTCACTCACCTGTTTGAGCCCCCACTGCTGTACGTGCGTTGATCTGATCCCGTCAGTCCTCTGCGGCACCTTCCGACGTGATAGGCACCTACTGCTGTCGATTGTACACTGGTGGGGCTGTGGATGGGTGGGAGACTAACCGCTCCATAGACATAGACAGGGGCTGGGAGGAGGGGGGGGTAATAGAAATTGCTCCAGCGCCGGACTGTCTCCCTTTTAAATGTCTGCCAGCTGAGATGTGCACAACAGTTCCCTCAACATTATTGGCTAAGCGCGATGTAGAGAAAATCAAAACTATCCGCCCCCTCAACACATCCCTGAACCCACTTCAAGAAAACAGACAACCGAGGAACAGCAAGGGCAGGGAAGCGAGGAGGGAGGAGGAGGAGGAGGGGGAGGAGGAGGGGCGAGACGAGCGGAGAACTGACAGGCCTAAAGTTTATGCGCACATGGAAAAAGTAAGACTGGTGATGTCTTTTTATCAAAAGGAACTTGGTGGTATTAAGCAATATACCACAATTTTAAAACTGAAAGGAGGAGTTTACGGTCCTTGTCGTAAATTATGAACATGCATGCAATCTAAAGATTAAATCAATTAGAAAGGTTGACTATCACATTTCAACATACCTGTGAATCCTCAACATAGAGAGCATTGTGATGTCGTCGTGAACTCATTGCTGAATACCAGAGTTGAGCCCCCCCCCCCCCAAAAAAAAAAAGATCGGCTTTATTTGCTCGATAAATGAAACGTGCTTGGAAACAGAAGATTGGGAATACAGCAGCATATGGCACTCCATTAGAAAGCCATAGCATTTCAGTTACTTAATGTAGGTTTCCACAATGTATTTACGCATGCCCAAATTAAAATGAATACAATGCAAACGAGTTTGCAGTAATCATCGAAGTGCATGCTTTGTATTAGCCCTGTGGTGGTGAAAGATGATTAAAGAAGACGAATATAATTTTTTGTTGGTTATTGAATAATTAACTAATGCTTTATAAAGCAATTGAAGTAATTATCAAGAGCAGCTGCTGGGTTGCCAGGTTGTGAAATATACCTCTGGCTGATGTTATATCCTTTATGTTTAGTACAATGCCGCTATAGGTGACCCCTTAGTTAATGCTGGCTCTAATACGCCACATGTTAGAGTCACAAATGTTAAAAAGTGGTCGATTCATTTATTTTGGGGCATTGTAGGTATTTGCAAAACATTAGTGATCCATTAGTCCCTTTGAACTAAATATATCTAAAAGATAATCAGGTGTCCTGCTGAGGTAGGACGATCACCAGCATAAAGGACTTTTTCCACCCTGGCTACTCAAAAGTAATGACTTAATGCTTAGAACTGCTGCTTAAAACAGAAAAAAAATGAGTCAACTATACAAAGTCACATTTTTAGCCTTAATGGTAGTCTGGAAAATAAACTCCAGCACCCACACTGTTCAATTATAATTAGAATATTATAGGACTAACATTCAAAGTGCCCGCATCTTTAAACATAATTGGCGACTTGTCTGTTACTGGATTTTCTGTATACGTTTCTGATACATTTGATGTTTTATAAAAGGTGAAATAGTCATCTGCTGAACACGTGGTCGCGGCCCAAACGCAGAGTCTGCGTAAGTAACGGTGGAGAGTCACGACAGACGACGTGTTACCGCCCGAGATATGAATAATAAGCTGCTCCGGTGACGCTTTTAAAGCTGACATTTATCAGAGTCCCATCCATCCTCCTACACGTGCTCAATATGAGAGCCTCCCAATGGGCTGTGAGAATAAATGTTAAGGAATTCTGACCTTCACCCCTTCATCTTCTACTCTTCAGAGTCTTTACAGGAGAAAGAAACGGTACCCGATTTTACACTGATAACATTTATTTTATGGATTCTCCAGAACAAGGCACATGATATCTTTTCAAATAAACCAGAAGCAAATGTGTTCAAATACATGTTATGTCAGGTCATGGTTGCAACGGATCAGTCTGTTGGTTACAATATGAACACGTCAGTGGTTGTACTGCTCCCCCTTGTGGCTCCAACAAGTACTACTTATGCAAGAAGAATTCCACTGAACAGAGAACGTATCGTACATTATGCCGTTTGAGTTTATTGTCTGAAGCAGTTCACATAGCAAAGCATGTTACTGGTGGCTGGTGTTGAAATGCATGGTCTGCGATGGACAGACAATGTAATCAATACTGCTCGGCTTTTTTTCTCTCGAATAAAGATCAACAACAAAAAGGTGCATTTTTTTCTTCTCTCTGTTCATGACGACATCCGGTAAGAAAATATTATGTAATTAAGAAACGGCTTCAACTTTTCAGTAAACAGTTTTTTTCAAGGACATCTAACTAAGGATTAGATATAAAATGCATAAATAAAAAGCAAAAGACTTAATCCGAACATTTCCAGTCATTCCATCCATCACATTTCACATAATCTGGCACGCTACAGTCTAAACACCAGACAACATAATCCTGTCGATATTTAACTCCCATACTTGTTTTACTAGAGTAAAACAAAACTCACGGCATATGAAAATCTCCCATTAAGGCCCTAACGCAACACAAACAGCACCTACCGTAGATAAAAAAAATAAATTAAAAGCCCTGAAAAAATGGATAATATATAGGAGGGAATGTTTAATGTCAAGCGGTCCTACCAGACAGACACCTGCATAGTGAGGAGGAAACGAAAAGAAAAAGATTTGAAACTATAAATCTACAGGCTTGGTGGCAGACATCAGCTGTACCTGGTTGAGGGGGTTTCGAGGTGAACCTCTGTAATGGCTCATGTCCTTCTCTACTACCTGCTGCAAGAGGGGCTTCTGAGCTCCTGAGGGATCAGCGACAGAACCGTCCACTTTGGTCTTTTGCTGGACCCTGTTGGTCGTGTCGGCCAGAGGGGTGACCCGTGGTTTACGGGCCAAGGTGCTTGGCTTCTTGGGTGGGACTGGAGGGGGTTTCTTTATGGGACAACATCTGTGGGACGGTCCCGGCTGCGCCTCTCCCTGGTAAGGCCGAAGCTGTGGGTGAGGGGAGAGGCCACTCTCCAGGCTCACCGCCTTCACCACCGCACCGCTCTGGCTGACGGCGAGCTCCGCGTTTCTCGAGGGTCTCCTGCTCTCTCCCAGGAGGGAGTTCATCCTGTGGATAGTCTGGCGCACTGGGGTGCGCTGGAACTTGAGCGGCGATCTGAAGTGTTTGGCCGCGGGGCCTCTGGGAGAATGGAGGGTGAGCTTGTTGAAGTGATGAATGTGGTCTGCCACCCGGCACTTCTCGCTCTCCAGGCTGCGCGGCGAGAGGGGCTGCTGGTTTTGGACTTTGGTGCCACTCTCCGGGGAAGATTCATTTTCTCCGTGTACCGCACGGACGACAGTGACAAACTTTGGAGGTGTACCAAACTCATCTCTGAGGTCCAGGCCCAGCTTGTATGGCGTGGACTGCAGCCCGCAGGAGACACCCAGTTTGAAGTGAGCAGGACTCTGGATGTCCAGAGCGTCAATCAACCTGCTGCAGTTCACCTGCTCCACCTCTGTTTCACAGGCCGCCACCACGGAGCCGTTGTGGCTACTGACGGCAGCAGCATAGAGAGAACGCTTATCGGTACAGTACGCACCGGGCTCAAAGAGTACACTGTCAATATGCAAAGGCGATAAAGTGGCAATTTCAATCTGGCCAAAGGTAACGTTCTGTTCGTTAGCCAGGAGGCTCTGCTGAGGTGAGAAGCTGGAGGCCTCTGTGTCCACAGACAGAACTCTGACTGGGGGAGTCCCTGGTGGAGGAAGTAGGATGCAGTCTGGTGGTTTTGCCGTGTTCGTCTCCATGGAGCGGAAGGGATCTTGTACGACGGTCCGGAGGTCGCTGCCCGACTCTGTGAAGGCCTTCTTTATCTTCACAAGGGTGGGACCGGTTCGGCTCCGGGCCTCAGCGACGGAGCTCTCGCTCTCCAGGCTCTCGGCACTGGAAGCACAACACAGCTTCTTGGGAAAGCCGGCCACCGCCGGGGGCTTCGGCATGACAACGGTCGGCTCAGACATGCAGTTGCTCTTTAAGCACATGTTCATGGGGGTGTCCGCGAAAGATCTTCCGCTGAAAACCTGGGCTCCTACGGGGGTCTCCCCGCTCCACGAGGGCCGGTGGGCACCTGAGCCACATTGGGGGGTCAGCAAATTGTCCTCAGACTTGCTGATGTACTTGACGCCTGTAAAACATGGGATATTAGTGAGGGGGGGTAACATTACACTAGAACATTAGATTTGATTTCCATTCGGTACTCACTCTTTGGTGGTGCTCTTCTAAGCACATCGGACGGACTGAACTCCGTCTTGCTGGTGAAAGGAAAACTGGTGGTGCTCTCCTGAGTGGCAAGTCGCCAGCCAATGGACCCAGATCCCTTTAATCACCAGCATGAAATGAAAGATGAAAGAAGAAAGAAGAGGAGGAGGCTTTAGTGGATTATTTGGTTAAAAATCCCACAGGTGTCACCCAAAATGTACCATTAGTTTATTAATTGAATGATTGTTGTGGTTAGTTCTTCAGAAGTCACTCAGAAGAAACCAGATATTGAATTTGTTGGTCATCAACTTTTTATTACGTCACGAATACAACATGTAACTATAGAACATTAGAAAGCTATGCACCGTAAACCTTTACCAGTTCACTCAAAAACATTTAATAGATATATATACTCTTCTAGTATATAAATATTCTTTCATCCGAGTGCCTGACATAGTAAATCACAGGACGTAAGCTATAGCTTTGTACCACACAAGTAGGAAAACTATTTATTAAGCAATGTTACAAAACATTCCACATTGTTTTTAAAACCATGCATTACCAGATTAAATGAGTTAGCTGATGAAAGTAAACTTAGAACGTTACACGATAACAAAAGTGCTTAATGTGCAACAATTTACCCCATTAAAAGAAAAAAGCCCATGTGCAAATGTTACTTGATTTTAATAGTTAATTGCAGTATACGCCTGAATGGCACTGATTTAGTGTCTCCCCCCCCACACACAGTCTATCTGTGAAGCGGATACGTGGAATGTGAAGTCTGTCGAGCAACCACACTTACAGCCTCCTTGCTGCTCTTCCCCAGGCTGAATCTGGAGCGCAGGGATTTGCGCGGTGCTTCTTTCTTGTCGACTTTAGGAGAAAAGCATCCGGCTCTTCCAGACTCCACCCTGAAAGAGATGAACATTCAAACAACCATCAGTATAACCTAAGAGACGCCATGTAGCCCTGAGGTTAACGCTTTACTAACTCGTATCTCTCATTCATCGTTTCAAGACAAATGCGAGGAGACTGGGAAACAAATGGCTGTGTGGCACAACGCATTTTAAAGCATCATGTTGTCTCCTTTTTATTCAGTACACATAAGTGTAATTTCTATGTGGCAACAACTTGCATCATCCCTAAGAGACAAATAAAATGACGTGTGTGTTGAGAAGGAGAACTGGAGCGTACCTGTTGACAGCGTGTCTGCTGCTGAGTCGTCGGCTCTTCCTCTTCACAGAAACAGCCGACTGCCTTCTAGACTTCCCCGCTGACGACACGGTAGTTTGGGAAGAGTCCAAGACCCCAGAAGCACTGTAAGCTAGATAGACAAAGGGAGGGGAAAGAAGATGTACGCTTAACCACAAGCTGGAGCAGAATAATTAATGTCCCATGTGATCAAACGATCATCGATCATCGATCAATACCTGATCCAGGAGTGGAGGCCCCGCTGAACAAAGTGTTGGGAAGTAATTCTATCCCAAGGGTCTTTTTGACAGATCTACGTTTCTTGTTTGAGAATCCAAAAGAGTGGCCGGATTCCAAGGGAAGTTTTCGTTTCGAGGTCGGTGTTGCAATCACAGGAGTTGCAGAGGAAAAGACTGGCAAAAATCACAGGAGAATTCAAATCTTCAAATGCATTGCATTAGTTTGACATATTTGATTTTGGCACTTGAAAGAATCAGCAGGTCTTGACTGAAATTTGTGGAAGATGATCCGTGCAAATGACAGGCAGAGAAAACACAAGCCATCTGAAGCAAAGCACGATTAACAATTATTCACATGACTTATTGTTTATCGTCAAGGCAAATTTGAATCAGTTTGCAGAAAGCTTATTGTTTTTATGTGCATAGAAGATGGATCTCTCCGGTATCATCATGCTACATGACAGGCAACAATCATTTGTCTGACCTCAGTACCTACCAAGAATGTCTGACTGGGTGGGTTTTGTGGGCGTTCTATTAGTTTTTATCTTATTCAGGGCACCATTGACCATATCTGAAATGTGAGACAAATCCAAGCGTATAAACAGTATTTACTGACTAAACCTGCTTCAAATGCTTAAACATGTCTGTTTAATGTCTCTGGATATTTGCAGGCTGGTCGTACCAGTGCAACTGGAATCTATCTGGCCAATCTGACATTTGAATTAAATCTTTTCATACTGCACTTTTGATTACGGTCTCACCTCCGAAGCTGCGTCTGTGTCTCTTCTTCATCCCAGAGTTTAGGTCCAGCTCCACTAGTCCATCAGTGGGGGACAGACCCCCCGCTTCACAGCCCATCATGGCTGGAACTTTCTCGAGAAGAAACTGTGGTAAGACACCTGTGACACACACACACACACACACACACACACACACACACACACACACACACA